TAAATATTACGAAAGTTTGTTGTGCATGTGTGCGATTACCATTTTCTTTCTAAGTGTACATGTTCAAAAGCGAAGGCTTAGCGACAAGATTTTTGTGGAAAAAAATTTGGAATAATCTAATTACAGTATAGCATATTGGCAAATTCGGGCTGGAATCATCATACACCTTTGCTCTGTTTTTAATATTGATCTCTTGTTTTGATGTTCAGTATACATGGATGGTACCTATATACATTCATATTTACGTTCTTTCGTACCATACATACTATATAACATAAATAAAAACATTCAGATTGGCTTTGTTTAGAAGAGAATAGGAGGAAATCGCCATAATAAAGCAGGAATAGGTAAATATGCTCAGATGTATATTTTTTGACAAACTGAGTTTTCAACTATATGTTATACAAATTTTCAATTAAATAGTGTAGTTCTTCTCTCGTATTAATAATTTTAAATGGAATACGAACTTTGTACAGTTGACTTGTTTTCATTAAAATACCTGTTTTTGTTTATATTCGCTAGCCTTACGATGTACGCGGTATTAATAAAATCATGTTATAGGAATGGTGTGCTGTTGTTTCTCTTTTCATATTCTAATGCCGAGTCATTCCATGCAATTTTATTATTCTTATCACATGTTTTATGCATTATATTAGCACTATTCCATTCCATGCAATGTCATACTTCTTTATCATGTAGGTACTTTCGAAAACATTGACAGCCGAAGTGAATATGGGTTGCGCATGGTACGTTAGGGGTATTAAACAGAGAGATGCTTAAGTCTAATGTTAGTTTCTTAAATCGTCTTAAAGTAGCTTTAATTACCCGGTTCGGCTGTGTCGCATACCTCGCATTGGCAAGAGAAACAGTGGAACGCTATTGGGTGTCTAGTGAGTTTCTTTAAAATTGAGCTTTTATGCACAAGTGGTTTTGGTGGAAATGGACCGGGTACTGCTCGATGTCAGCTTTATTAATGGTTATAAAGTTATGTTCAGCTGTGGCTGATTTGATAATTCCTCACAAGGCGTTTTGAATTCTAGTTTATTCAAATGTGATCCATTAAGTGGTGTAACAGCAGTACAAAACTAAATACGTCTAAATAACCAAAACATAATGAATACATTATCTTATTTTCATATCTAATTTTTCGATAGGGAACTAAATTAATTTATCCACAAAAAAGAAGAATTGTGTACCCAAATCGAGGAAGGACTATGCCAAATGCAATGATTTGTTAAACTGACACAAGAAACTATACAAAAACGTATCTATACTTTGTGGCAGGTACCATATCATAAGGTAATATTCTCATATAGATTTATTTTGTTCCCATGCCGATTAGTAACGAACAATTGGATTATGAGAACATAATAATAAAAATTTGGTTTTTTCTACTTTTGTAACTGATAATGAACTTTGGCTACCGTCTAGCACCGACGCAGATAAGATACTCAACTAGCAATAATAAAAAATACGCTTAGATAGCGAGCCGCAATAGTACCTTTTCAATAATAACAATAAAGTAAATCGATTTGTCTGTTATTGTGAATATCTCACCTCTTTATAAACTGAAAAGAAAATAAATTGGTGTGCATGTAAAGCTAATCCATTTGTTCGTTTGTAATCGCAACAATAACCATTTGGCTATTGTTTAAAATCTTCTTTGTGACAATTGGAATATTCTATAAATCTTTGATGTTGAAGATTTTTTAAAAGAGTGGCTGCAAACAAAAGACGAGGCGTTATGAGACCGTTATACAGGAAGTCCAAAACAAGTACTCCTTTCTAGACAACCTTTAACAATTGTTGGAAGTCATGGACGAAATCAAATTCACTTTTAAACTGCAATTGAAAAATATCAATGGAAGAATAAGAAAGCTGACCCAGGCTGTGCATACAAGCCAACAGAGGTAAGACGAGAACTTGAAAGAAAACAATGATTGTCATTTATACGATTTTTATTTTATTATTGTAGATTGAGCAATTAGCAAATGTCTTAACCCATGGCATTTGGATTGTGCCCGCAGTAATATGTGCCAATAAGTTATTCGAACGATCTAAAACGTCGAGCCAATATTAGTATCATGGGTTTATGAGGAGCTTTAACTCTGCTTTTACGTTATCAACAGTTTCCACTGTTCCTGTTTCTGTGATAATAAGGTGTAAGTATAATAATGTAAAAATATTTGCCAATAACTTCCCTGGTAATTGATAAACAGCCGCTTTGATTTTATAGCCACTTTAATGCTATACGCTAATATTGTCAGCAAAGATTGGAAACCTCATGCATGTTTGCAAACAATGTCCTCTTGTCAACTGTAGAAATCTGGTCTTATAAAGAGAAATGGTTGACGCTTAATAAAATGCCAATTAAAGCAAGAGACACACACAGTAAATTAAAAATGCATGCGTCATAGTGTTTATTTTTATACGTAAATTGCAATCTATTACAATTGCACGTAAATACATACGTAAATTGCAATCATTTGTTAAAAGTTTGGTCTTTAAGGAAAGACAACTATACTAGTCGGGTTGGTTACATTTATATTAGAACTTTGCTTATTTGAGAATCGGGATATATATTAATCTTTTATTTCCGTAGTTTTACGAATTTATATTGTATAACATTTTCTAACTGACATTCTATTGGCATTTTGTATTCTAATATTAGATACACGAATAAACTATGCATAAGAAATTTTCTCTATTAAGACCAATACATTTTTGTTCCAAGTCAAAAGCGCTGTCCATAAATGTAGGCTGGGTCATTTAAGGAATCTCATATAGGTCTTGTCGTCCGCAATAAGCTATAAGAAGTATTTTTTGATCATTGAATATCTAAGGTATAAAAATATTAAAGAAAATTCAGCTCTTATTAAAAGATATTTATTCTTCATCTTCCATTAACTAGATTTTTTAATTAAATTTCTTTTTTATATATTTTTATTTTAACTTTGACTTTGTTTAATATCATGACACAATATTATCGGTTCATTTATAAAAATGTTTAAGCTGCACTCTTTTACTTTTAGTGGTATCAAAAATGTTCTACATCGCTGTGATCGTGCTATGATTTACATATTCATAGCTGCGTCATATTTTCCTTGGCTGCAGTTAGAGAATCCCAACCATTCCGCGCTTCTCATATGCTTGGAATGGGTTATTTGGTTAATGGCAGCAATTGGTATCACATATCAACAGGTATTTTTGTTGATGGATGGAAAAGGTTAAAAAAATCATAGAAACTATTCCTTTTTTACAGATCTTTCACGAACGATTTAAATGTTTGGACATGTTTTTTACATACTCATGGGATTAGGCCCGGCTTTAGCAGTGTTCGGGACGGGTCATGAATTTCCTGGTATGACAGAACTTAAATTGGGTGGATTTTTCTATATTGTGGGGATATGTTTCTTTAAATCGGACGGTCTGATACCAATGGCTCATGCCATATGGCATTTGTTTGTGGTAATAGCTGCCGGTTTTCATTATTATGCTATTCTAGTTCATTTATATCCCTAGAAGATAGTAATTCCAATGTTTAGCACCTTGATCTTGATGAATTATTTACATAAGACATTTAGATTTTATTTCTTCCAACAATCATATATTTCTTATGATTATACATCGGAATTCGTCCAATTATTTAGTAATTTAGCCAATGCTTACTTACCAGGTTGACCAGGAGACAAATTCTAAAAAATGTTTTTTTTTTTTTCAACTGGGTAGTTTGCTTGACACATCTTTTCTGGATATTCTAGAGAGAATATTGTTTTTCCACACAGGAATATATGTCTCGCTATATGTTATTTACTATAACTTACAATTAAGAATTACAAACCCCAAACATTTTTAATAATTTATACATTTTTGATCTCACATTTTTTATGACATTTTTAGCCATTTTTGTTTTGATTCTACTATTTTTTATTTTATTTATTTATTTTTTCTACAACTTGATTATGTTGCCTTCATCGCTTTCACCACAAAAGTTAAACACAGAAATTATACCGAAATTGAATTTTGACAGAACGCATTTTTGTTTATATGTTTTTGTATCTGAACACTACACTGATAATTTGACCTGCTGTGAGGCAAAAAAATAATAATGAAATTAAGACGTTTTAACTGTGTAGCTCGATTATCGTCGATCTCCGAATCTATTTACAACGTTTGTGGGAACATTGTATGGAAATTGATCGTAAATTCTTAATTTAAGAGAAAATTGAATAGTATTATGTGGTTTTCGCTAATCGAATAACAAAATATTACATTTAAGCGGTGTATGTATGAATTTTAATTTCAACAGAATTCGAATTATTTAAACTAATATTCAAACACATACAAGAGCTGTGTATGTCTTATGGCGCCCGTCGTTTTTTCTGTCAAAACACACATTTTCTTTAATCTAAAAATATGTACCAAATGTACCACACAAACCTTTACCGGCAATATAAGTGTAAGTGTTTCTATCCGGGTGACCTTATTAACTTGGCCTTAATTGTGAGTATAAAAAATAAATGAGTCATATCAAGCATTTTCATGCTAAACTAATTAAAAGTCTCTGGACATCCTGATAGTAGGCCATCGTTTTGTATCAAAGTCTCAATGTATTTTTGTTTAGATTTTCTTTATAATTTGTTTTCAAATAAAAGACGAATTTACTTATTTAGCTATACTAATTTATCATATTAAGTTGAAAACCGATTATGTCAAAAATTAGGCTTCAACCAAATCATCAGGTTTTAAGCATTAAAAAAGTTACAAATAGAGGTTCTGGTGCACCACTCACGTTTTCCCTATAAATTGTTACTGTCTAGTTTGCCACCAATTTTCCGAAACCAAAAAATATATACCTAAAGATGAAACATTACTCTAGTGTTCAATAATAAAAAAAAAAACATTTTTATAGGTTAGTGTATTCAACAAAAATAGCGAAATTGTAATTATATGTATTATTATGGTTATAAGCTATGTTCGAAGTCGAATAAATTACAAAGATGAAATTTATGTGTTTTTATTTAAATTTTATTCTATGGTTAAGGCATTGCATATAAAATCACCCGCAACTTTTGTTCCATGCTTATGTTTTGTGATTGCTTCGAGCGTTCGGCTAGAATAACGGGACATGAAAGAAGAGGTGCCGCTTTTTCTGGTATCATCCGGAGGATAACACGTTTCCATGTACTCCTCACGACATCAATATTCGTTGAGAGCTGCCTCTTGAGCATGGGCCATCTTCATTGTACGAAATGAGGATGAAATGTGCCAGAGCTAAACACAGTTGTTCCTGTAAGTTATCACGGTGATTATATTCATGGAAGTTTTCTAAATGATGTGACTGTTCAATGGGCCTCTAATATACACGACCAAAACTTCTCAAAGTAGCTGCCAAAATGTGATCGCTCCGATATATTCACTAAAGCTGCTGTAGCATTCGTACGGACTTTAAAATTGGAGTGATTGACAATAACGTGACACAGAGCCGTGTACAGTGTCTGTTGGCAGCTTGATAAATCCGTAGTGGCTTCGTTCCCGAATATTATGTGGTTGTGCATAATGTTGCCTATGGCGTAGCAAGTGTTCCATTTAACTTTTGCATTACTAGAAGATCGTATGCAATCGGTAAGTTTACAAATTGATTTTTCAAACAAATCTCGCCAATCTCTTTGTACATTCTCCATTTTTAAATGTCCTCTGTCAACAGACGCAGTAGATTTCCCAAAGTACGAACAGCATTACATCGGACTTTGTCGTTATCACCACAAGCAGTTGTGGACGCTTTATCATTCGATAGAGAAGGTCGTCAGAAATTCTTCCGGATTTTCTTTGGCTTCAACAAATTTGGCTATTAAGGCATCACTAATGTTGCCCAATGCCCAAAATGATTTGACACGAACAAGTAAGTTTGAATTCTCTACGAGACGCAAAATTAGATCTGCCGTATTTTCTACAAATACCAGGTCACCACGCAACGAAGGATAGAGTACATAAACGGCTAATGCTCGTACAGCCGTTGCTCGAACGATAGGCTCATCAGAACAGTCTGAACTAACCCCAGAAAGGAAACTCAACAAAGCCAGTTGCATGGACTGCGAACAGTTTTCAAACATAACCACACCGATATTGGAAAGAGCATCACATAAGACAGTTCGTACAGTGCTTGCTTCCTCCTTATCCCTTCGAATATGTTCCATTACAATTGGAACCATGTTCATCCAAAATGTGCTAAAATTTTGAATGTCTGTTTGAAAGGAAGATGAGGCAGTGGATTCCATTACTTGACGACTTATCTGAAAAGCACAGCTATCTATGCATCGTGCAGCATATAAGCGAACATCTGGAAGAGAATCATTCATGGATTTTTGCAGCACAACAGAGATCTTGGGTAGATGGGCCTTTACCATAGCGAAATGTGAGCTCATTGCTGTTAATACCTGCAAACTTTCTATTCGTATCGATGCGGGTACTGTAACATTGTCGTTATATGTTAGATTATGTAGCAAACGCACAATTAACCAAGAGTTTTCACTCATTGGTAAATGTTCGGAAACATTGTCTTTCTTTTTTATCGACACAATTTCATCCTTAAATTTTTCTTCGTCGCTTAAATCTGATTCCACAAATTCTTCATCATCTATTATATCCAATCTTCTTCGCCAAGTGGATTTGGAGGTATAGTCATACTTCTTTTGCTAGTACCACCGGGAAATCCCAAAGCCTCAGCTATTTCTATACAAGTGTCTGTTGAGCTTATCAGAAACTCCAATACCATTAAGGATGACACTTGAATGGCAGCATCGCGATGATAAATAAGAGGTTTTACATGCTTTACCAAGTTTTGCACAAAAGCCTTGTCAAATTTCTGAAATGGTGTTGCTTGGACCAAGACTGCTAAACATTTTAAAGCTTGAGTGAGTACAGGTAAAGAATTTTCCGTCGAAAGCATCGCTGTAAAAGCCCGATATATAGCAACTATCGTATGTCCAAGGCTAACGGAAAATGGTATAAACGTAGAAGGGCAGCGTTTTATATTTATCTCAGCCTGATGTAAAAATCCTTTAGAGCCATATAAAAGTTGAGCACAAACTTGTAACGCAGCACATCTGCAACGCATGCTGGGGTCGTGTTGGCCTATATAGAGCAAATTATCTGCGGATTCACCTATAATTGCAGATTTCTATTTATAATCTCAAAATAGTTAAATATTTTCATAATTCTTAGAAATAAAGAGAGATGGTGATACTATGACATTTGTTTCAATTACCTGTTCCACTAGGAAATAAGACATGCCAATATCCATATAAAACCCTTCGTTCAACCGCCTTTGCTATAGCTCCGACTAATGATATTGATGTAAACGAATCTTTGCCATTTTGTTTCTTTCAAAAAGTACACTATTTCCTATGCATTCATGCTCAGACGTTTCAGAGTCACTGGTTTTCATATCCATTGTCAAAAGCCCCATTTTTCCTGCCGGACCGGCATGGACGGTTTCCGATCAGTGTTATTAGTCTTAAGACGAGGTTTGCGGGTTTTTTGGGCTTTGCCACCACATTTCCGAATCCTTTCGGAATTAAGGTTCGAATCATAATCTTCGGCTGAATCATATAAAGCTTGCTGTGACATGTACACCTTCTGCGGTGCTGACAATGCACCATCATACTGTTCGATGCCGAAATGTAAATACGCTCTTGATATTCCTAAAGTTCTGAAATATGTTTTCTGCAGAACTCCGAGTTTATGGAGATAATACGATTAATCAACTGCAGTGAATGTGACAAATACATTGGCATAATATCGTCTTCTAATTTTGATGTAAAAACATTACAGCTGCTGTAAAATATATATAGCATTTTCTCTCCAATTTCCTCACATGCCTCCAGAATATCAATGGCAAGATTTGTTTGTCCATAACTCAAAATACCAAGTATACTCTCAAGACACCGAATAATATTTACAACTACGTCCGTTCCACTGTCCCAATGGAGGTGGCTCACTAGTCCTCTAGCAATTCGAACGAAGTGTGCAGTGTTGTTTATTGGATGTGTTGTAAAAAGAACAGCAAACACAGTACATAATTTCGGCAACAAATTCAAATCATTGTTGTTGTTTTCTAAAATCCGAAAAAGGCATTGGATAACCTGATCAAATTGTGACCCGCTCAAGCATACAAGTTTATTTTGCTCTTGAAGGTGTGTCATCCAGCCAACAACACTTACTACATACTCGTAGGGAATTGAATTATCATTGATAGCAAGACGGATGAGTTCATCCAGAATTCTTTGTTCCTGTGATTTATTTTCACACCCGTATTTTTCGACATGTTCAATCAGTTTTGTAACCTCTAAAAGACATTTATTTTCAGCCCGACGACGCAAATAGTTCAGAAAAGTTTCAGTATTGTTCATTGCTTGCGACAATCTTATTTAGTGATGGAAATACTTTGCAGACAAAATTGATTACCGATATTTTCTAATTCCCACAAATTTTCAACGATTAATTTTTTTATCGAACTTAAACGCACACTTGCGTGAGTTATAGCATGTTTCCATTGAAAACCGAACAACGTTGTTCGCTCTCAGAATTAGGTACACGAATTAACCCGTTCATACGGCACGATTCGTAATTCATAG